AGTGATCACAAGAGCACCTACTATCCCAGCAACAAGAAGAAAGGGACAAATCACCTGGCGAAGTACGAAGAAGATAAGTGGTGCTCCCATCACAAGAAACGACCGCATACTACTAGCGTTTGTTTTGCTCTCAAAAAGCAAAAGGAGGAGCACACGCAAATTGAGTAAACATTTTACAGAAAATGAATACTCAATGATATTTAAGGAAGAAGACTTAGGAAGTGACAAAGAGTGCAAGCTTATTGGACTAGATCAACATACACCGAAGATAACAACAGCAACGCTTCGCTTCGCATAAGAGCTCATCTACGGAGTGGTAAGAGCCAATTTAGAGCGCTGCTGGACACGGGCGCCACAAGAAGTTTTGTCAATAGGTCTTTTGTGGACGCTAGCGTGAAACACGGATACAAGGTGTTTCCACAAACGACTACGGTGTTTGAAACCATAGGACAAGAGGTGGCTAGCGGTGGGACCATAGTAGCCCACTTTCGCTTTACGCAACTAAAGCCTGACTCGGTCATCATCCAAGAGCTCAGCTGGAGCCTTGAATTTGGCGCGATGCGTTTTAAACGTCTATTTGAGTCGAGCCTTAATACTTCATACATTGAGAAAACGTATGGGTAATGACTCTGGAGGCCTAATTCAAAGCTTTAGCACGTCCATCCAAGTTCTATATGGCTAGCTTGACCATCATCGCATCGCCATCGATGCGAAGAGCCTCAATGGCATCGTCAAGCTCGACGAACCATCTCAACAAGGAGTTAATTATGACTGCCTTGTACTTGGAGACGTGAACGGTCAAGGGCTCGGGTCGACATATATCCGACGACCCGGTATCAGTAGCACTAGCCTGCTGCTTTCTCAACAGGTCATCCTGTTGAGAACCTTGTTTCTACAGCAAGGTGAAATCTTTATCGCTTCGTCAAGTCCATGTTGAATGAACTTGGCGATAATGGCATGCTGCTCGTCCACACTCAGAGAGAGCAGCATGGCACCGACGGCGGCATTGTGGTGGAGTGGGTTCATAAAATTGTATGATGAGAATCCAAACCACTCACTGTGCCGGACTGCCGACTGTCGGAGGGGGTACCCCGATGCCGCGTATGAACCTTCTCTCATCTTGTGTACCCGTCGGCTGGCGGGTTGCACTCTTCGGAGGAATTGGTGAGGATGTAGACGTCTGCCTTACAGGAAATAGACCTGGGAGGCTTCGAGTGGATATGCTTCACTCGGTGGGTCGGTAGGTGGCCACTCGATCGACCTTGTCGAGAGTGGGCTTAGGGCCCAATTCTTCAGGGAGGCCTTTTCCTTCTTGTTTCAGGGGTATCAACCACCTTACCTTTTCTTTGCTCCCGGACGGTGAGGTGAGGGAGACCGCTTCCGATAGCGGTTATGGGGGGTTTTGCTACTCGAGCGAGCTCACAGGCCAAATATATCTTGGAGCTCTATTCGCACTTGAACTTCGCTACACAACTGTCTTCAACGGGGCCAAAATATATCCCTTCCCGGAACAGTGAGTACCTTAGAACAAGTCCTTCTTGGGTGACGGAGTCGTGCCACGTAGATCGCAAATTGAGTAGTATTTAATATAGTCCTATCCTTTTAACTACTTTACTCTATCCTTGCCTGAAGCTCTGATTCCTTGCGTCGACTAGTCTGATCCTTGTGTTAACTGGCCAGGAGTGGCTTTTTTCCGAGGGACCCAGGTCTACCAACGAGGAACTGGGTCGACCAATGAGGGAACCGATCAACCAGTGAGGGACCGGGCCTTTAAAAGGGTCCATGGTTTACTCCCTTCGGTACCGGTTAAACAGTAACCTGGCAATACCTCTCCTTTGTTTGTCTTTCACATTCTTAGCCAATGATCGCTTCACTCCGAGGTCAACTTTCTTTCCGGTCCCTTCTCTCTGGCGCATGTTCCATTCTCCCTGGTCCATCGCCCCTTGTCCCTTCAATCCAACTGGCCCCTAGGTTCTTCACAATTTAGTAAAGCACTTCACCAGAGCATTGCTGACGATTTCAGTCATGCGCTGTACTGCCTACCATTCGAGACCATTCGAATGGCAGAAGGCATCACACGTTGCGTGTTGATCTTATATATCCTCTAGTTCCGTAGCGAATGAGTCGTTGGTCGACAAAAGGGCTATGAAGTATTACCAGATGTAACGAGGTACCCTCTGATTATACTAACACAGTATAATCTACTTACACTGTGTGAGGTTATAGAGGAAGCATGTTACCTCTACACGACAAGCTTAGAAGTAAAAGAAAGAGAACTGTATTTGATATAATTAATTATCTAATCAAACTTATTCTGTTATAATCTTGTCATAACTATCTTGTATCAACAAACATGTATGTTGCCTTCGTGCCCTCCACTCATTGCGTGTTTCCGTACTTTATTGTCCAGCGCGTTGGTTGATTGGCTGATATCATGGTCTATATTGACTAGTAAGAAGGGCATCTCCAACTGCAAGGAGATGCGACGACAATCTTATCTTAAAAGGCAACAATGTTAAGTAATTCTAATTAAGATAATATCCTCAGTGGCACTTAGTGTTTGTGCCAATGTTATGTAACGTACTCACCTCGTCACAACTGTCATCAGCGCCTTTCAAAATCGATGCTTAGGGTTAAAGTGATTAATTAGGACTGGAACGCTATGTAAATGCTTATAAAAGAATACTTCTCTTGAGCTGTTAAAGATATCGATAGTCGCCAAGACAAGCAACCGAGTAGGTTGACGAAATACCCGCGATTAGCCAAGAGTTAGTATGAGGGCTCAACATCCATCGGACCCGATTTCTCGGTGGCGTAATAGGGATAACGTGTGTCACTATACTTGCAATTACGTTTTGCATAAGTGCCATGTAGTGAAACCGAGATATTGGCTTTGTGATACAATTATGATTGTGGTGCTGACAAGAGCGATAAGGTGCAACGTAACACTTAACGAGTTGGCGCTATTTGCGTCTCGTTCACGGCCTCAGAAGATGGGACAATAGTGCTGGGACGACTTGTTTTAACGTACAGGGCCACGGGGGAGTCAAAGCACGACTTTTTTACTTTATGGATAGTAGCAGCACGACTTCGTTTGATGCAACTAGGTACTGCCGGCAGCATTTATGGAGAGACTCGTATTCTTTATACGTCATTGAAAACTAATTCTACTTTTGTTTATTTCACTGATGAGACTAGTGAGCGCTTAATGCGTATCATAAGACGTGCTTGTCTTAATCTTGTATACCACTCAGTATTTCGTTAAGAGCAAAAGCTGTCATACCAAAAAAAGTGTCAGGAAAATAAGGCCGCCTGGCATTTGCGCTGCTGGCCCTTACCGATGCCAGTCGAGAAGAGATTTGTTATAATGGTGAAGACAAAAACTTGGTGGAAGGTCGTGCCGATGTGACCAACACTTTTTAGCCACCAAGCGAAGAATTTATCTGGAACGCAAGTCTATTCACAATAACAGCAGTTTGATCTCTCGAACATATGCAAATTCTTGTAAATTTCCTAATGATATTATTATGGTCGGCTACTACCCAGGCGTCCTTCTGACCACACAATGCACGGCTTGTCCAAAAACGCGAGCAGGACTTACCGTTGTGGTATGAAGTACAGAGAGATAACTGGAAGTAAATGGAAATATAAGTTAGCTCTCATATAATTTAGAAATGGTCCTAGCTAAGCTCAAAGAAGCAACCTGGAAAGTTCTTTTTGTAGGCCAACTTTTATGGTAAGGAAATCTCTTATCGAGGTTTTTGACTTTTTTCGATTGCTAAATCTCTAATGTATTAATTTTGGGAGGGCCGTAAATAAGGGGATAGGTCTCGTTATATATGGAATACGTCAGCAAATTTATGTGTTTCCAGCCGTGCTGACGACAAGTCCGAGCATTATCAAGTGATTCAGATACGTGCCGGACATCTCACCACGACTCTTAGGCCGTCTTGTGTACTTCTTGACTCATGGGTGGGAGTCAAAATAGAAAGTTAGCGCAGAAAAAAGCTAAGCTATATCATTTTTGCATGGCTTGGAAGGGAGATCTACTCGAGTAAGATGGTAGTCTGATCCTCGTTGACGTTAGCATTTTAAATTATAGTAACGTGACTGCACAAGTGTGATACGGCCAGCTTCTTCTGACGCATCTCACATCCCGCCCCATATGTAAATCTAAATAACGGGAATAGATGTATCAAAAGTGCGATTTCTGTGCCAATTTTCACTATTTTAAAAAGGGTCTACGCGCCACCGAAAATGGACGTGGCGTGGTGCTATACCCCGAAACAAGATCGATTTTCTTCTTGTCCGAACAATAAAAATTGGAAAAAGTGTTGACATAAATGACAAGAGGCAACGAGCAGCTTCGATATCAGCGCCGTAAGGCGCTCATCTATTTCATCGAGTATGCCAACAGAAGAGCCAGATGGAGGCGATTAGGTCATCGTACGCTAGACCTCTCGCCGTCGGGCTGGACTCTACTGCCGTTACGGATTTTTGCTGCTTGGGCCGACGTCGTCTGTTAAATTATTGCACAATGAAGCAAGGGGACATACAAACTCGTTGACGTATTCACCCGACCAAAACGACCGACCTTTGTTTGCAACGGCCTCCTTCTGTAACGTGCTAGCCGACCGACCGACCAAAAGCACCAACATTTCTACATTGTATACAAGATACAAAGCCGTCGTGAGCACGACCGACCTTCCGTTTCCAGGTGATTGCGTGTACTCGATCAACATTGCCCAAAGTGGAACGGTCAGTGACGCCAGCCAGTCAGTGTCCCCCCCCTCTCTGCTGTAGAATGTGGTCCGCTATTTCTTCTTTATACTTGAGGAACTCACTGCAGCTGTTGCTTTTCCGACACGAAGCTTTTGCCGTAACAGTAAATTTGTTCACGCGTCCCACTCTCACCCATCCAATCAGTAGCCAGCCGCAAACGAAACGTCGTTTTCCGTCACAATACAATCCGCTCCCTTCAAGGAACACCCCCTCCGACCATGAACCACGGCAGTAATACCATTTTTGAGTCTGAATGGGCTGCTTTTGCACTACCAGCGAGCGTCGATCGCCCTCTACCACGAATCGGCTTTACCGACTTTGAAAGCCGCCAGCTCCACGCCAGTCTCGACGCACTAGATGTACTCGGGCCTGTACTGGCGACCAACGCACCAGTCATGTTGTTTGCTGAACCGGCTGAGTGCGTACCCGTTAGCAGCTGCATGGCCACACCACGAGGCACAATTAAGTGTAGCCGTGCTACTGATAGTGCGTCTCCCCGGGCACATATGCACCATTCTAAGAAGGCTTCGCGCAAGCAGGTTCACGAGCTCCAGGCCATGGTTAATGTCATGCAGGTGCAAGTGAACAGCGCTGCCGCCGAGACCCAACAGCTCGCGCAGCTTGTAGGACAGTTTGCTCAACAGCGAGCAGAGGAAAGGAGATGCGCAGCTGAAGAGGATCAACCGTTATTTGAAGAGCACGAGATGGACATGGACCTCGGGACCCAGCAGCGACGGCTGCAGGCCCAAGTCAAGCAAGAGTGTGAACAATTTGTATGCGAGCAGCAACAACAGCAACAGCAGTGGCAGCAAGAGTGTTCTGCGAATCAATTGCCACCCTCACGGATCCAATTTTAAATCAAGGTATCCTCCACTACACTCCGCAGTTTTCTGTCATCTACTGTCGTCGTCTCGTCGTCTAAGTCTGATCATGACACGTATGGGTTTATTATTTAGCAGTCTACACACCGAAACAAGAACTGTTGTAAACTAAGCAAGAAAATATCTTATTTCTAACTCTGTTAAGGTACTCACGTACATTAGAAGGATGTTACGTGCATGAACTTCTGGTCGTGCCCACTTGTTCACCTTTCAGGCCTTTGGCTTGTCGAAGTTAGGAGATTTTCCCGTTCGGTATACTTGGCGTCCGTACAACAACCACTGCCAATCATACATGTAAGAACATTTAGAACAACAAACAATAATTGTTTCTGTTCTTGAAATGACTACGTTCAAATTCTGCGCCTCGCACTCTCTCCAACAAAATACTCATGCCTCTACTGTTGTTCAAAGCTTATGTACCGATGGAGCCGAGCTGGTGCAAGAACGCCTCTGGACTCAACAGCTCTGTGCAGCCGTACCATATCGATCGTGGTGATTGTGATTCTTTGGCGTACGCCAACAGATTGTGATATTCGTTGTAGTTGCCGCCACCTATCATAAATACCATCACCTCACGGAAAGGAGAGCGCTGTCGCGGAACATCACCAGTGGCCTTAATCTGAATGTAAATAAACATGATGTAAAACTTAGTTCTTTACAGCCACCTCCAATCGCACTCTTGATCGTACCTTCGGGTCCAAATACAAGAAGGTTTCATCCTCTGTGTTCGGTTTCATCTCACAAATGGCATCCGTGACTCGTGTGACGTGCAACTTTTTGTTTTCAGGCAAAAAGTTCTTAAAACTTGCAGCGGCTTGAGCAAGGAATCCTTGGGCAAGACCCTTAAACTTGCTCATATTGTTGGCACCGCCATCAGGGCCAGCACCACCCTCGGACTGCAGGCTGCCTCCGACACTTGCACGTCGTTGAAAGGCGGAGTGCTTGCGGAGAAACTTCCACGCCTGCATATAAGCCTCCGGCTGCTCTGATGCTGCAGCACATTGCTGGTAAGCGTTTTCAAAATCAGCCATTTCGGCGCCACTAGCACCACTCGACAGGAAGTAGATCATTAACAACCGCATTTTATCCGCCAATGTACCCATTTCCGTGCTTGACAATAGCTGCAGCACCTCAGTCTTGTCTACGTGCAAGCCATCGATAAGCTTCTGCTCTAGCATAGAATAGGACGGAATGTGGCGCTTCGTCACGCCCTCAAATGCCGCGTGAAAGATGTTTGTGTGAACTTCCAGCATTTTCTTCTTTTCCACGAGAGCCGGCAGAGTGTCAACAGCAGCAACAAGATCCTTTGTGCCATTCATTAACGCATTGCCCCCTCCTGTCTGTGCTCGAATCCTTTCTTCTTTCCCCGTAACCAGCTTCATTTCCTTTTCATTTGCATCAATTGCGTCCGGGAACAGGCTACCAGCATGTGTCTCAAAAAACTTGTCACTCGTCACGTCTAATTCGTACATGCGTTCCACCGATCGACCATCACTATCGCCGTCGTCCCCAGAGGTCTTAACAGACACCTTTACACGGTTCATCTGAATCGACAAAATGTCATCAACTAGTGCCTGGTACGTCGACGGATGATGCAGACTCGATGCAATATCCTCATTACGATCCATGATGATCAGCACCGGGCGCTGTACAAACGATCAACACAAAAATAGTAAGCACCAAATACAACAGCTTTACTTTACACGGGAGCTACGCACCTGAAAACTGGATGTATTGTCAGCAAAGACGCCATTTCTCACATTCTGTATTCAACCAATTGAATCGAAACGACGATCAGAACGTTATGCTGTAAGTAGGTAAAGAAACACGTCCATACCAGGTGCTCGCGAATAGTAGAACTTAGCTGCTCCGCCACCATCCTCGATGGTCCATCATTATTGGGACAGCGAATAACCGGAATTCTTCCGGAAGTAGCAAGGACGGAAAAAAGCCCCTTGACAATGACACTCATTGACTGCTCAATTTGCGCATCCGCCACATTTGGATCGTTATACGCTCGATAGCTCGCAGGGAGATTTAACGAAAAGAGACTTGGTTCCAGCGACACGAAGTTCGTGTACTGATCGTACACTTTGGCAATCTGCACATGGTCCACACAGGAAATATACGTAAAAAATGAGATAAAAAGGCTCCGACATCACTTGTCATCACCAAATAAGGTCAACGCATACCATGCTTGTACACCCAGCTTCCACTGAAGCTCGAGCCAAATACTCCAGTGACTCACGACTCAACGGATACGCGAAGTTTAGGTGTGCTGAGCTGTACAATTCCTTTGAACAGTCCGAGACGATCTGCGTCAAGTTCTCGTGCGTAGGTTCCACGAAATAAATGGCAGGGACATCAGGAATGGCGTCACGCTCCGTATCCAGACGCATATGCAGCGTAACACCCTTTTTGCGAAGCTCATGCAGTTTGAGGATGGGCGAGATAATGTCGCGACAGAATTTGTCGTAGATCAGAACCTTCCACTGGTCGCCCCAGCGATCACTTCATAGGTACACACAATTTAGTAAGAAATGCACTATCTCTATACTTTGATATGCATAGTAAACGCACACGGAGTCCAGGACTGCATCTGCAAAGCCGCCAGTGCTCTCCGAGTTAAAGTCCAGCATGCGCAGCAAGTTTTCTATAGGGAAGTAGAGACTGTTAAGGAAAGGAAGAGGTGAAAAAGAAAAGATGCAATGTGACTAATAGCATGTCCCTAATGACAGCGGCACGGACCTCGCTGCTTCTCTTGAAGTGACTGCGACACCGCGGAAGTCATCATCTTGAGCCAAGGTCGTACAGCGTAATTAAAAATGGCTACAAGATTTTTCGTCAGCGTTAAATACGATTTGTACTTGTTGTATACCACATAATTTTTCCATAATATACTGTTCCACGTAATCTGACGCCTTGAATCGTCATAGCATCACTTGGTGTAATTGTGAAAGTAGGTCCTATAGCTGCAAAGAAAAAGTTCTTAAATTCACAGGATTTATGGTGAAAGAGTGCCGCGAACGGTTTCCGGCCTAGCGATTGTGGACTAGATGACGAGAAAAAGATGGTTGAGGCCTTCAAAAAAACGTCTTCCTCACTCTGGTTGAGATCGCTACTGCCCACACTCGTCTGGCCGTCCATGGACAACATCTGCAGCTTGGAGGCGTAATACAGCGCTTGCGAGTCGGCCTGCAGATGAGATCGATAGTAGGATGTTGGCAATGGCTAAGTCAACGGAGTAGCGTCTATTGTACGTCCTTTGCTAGCGCCGCCTGCGAGTACACGTCTAGTAGTGCGCTGACCGGCAGATCATGTGCCTTCGCCTTGATGGCCACATGCAGTGGCAGCATGCCCAAGAAATTTTACAGTTGGCATGCACCTAGAAATGCCCGTGTGAGCGTCAAGACGACGACGAAGTCCACTGATAGCACTGTACAGACCCATTGCAGCGGCAATATACTGAAGTCGTCCTGAGCCTGCGCAAGCGTCGGGTTTAGCGCCACAAGCAAGAGCACCTCTCTCCAATCACTCTGCTTTGCAAGGTCTTAACACGCGCATTCTGTCCACGTCCATGCTCATGTCATGTGTGTCGTGTCGTGTACCGTATGAGGTGCTTGTCTGTAGTACTTGGACACGACTTTGGGATCTTGAAAGAAACAAAATTAGTCTCGGAGCATCCCTTCTTTACCCTCAAGTGTCTGAGTTATTAATTTAAGGCTCGAGCTAATGCGACGGCTCATCCGTACCGCACTACGTAATTCACATTTTGCAGGTTGTAATCAGATGTGGACTTAGGGTTTTTCAGATACGCTCTCGTGCACAATGTGCTGGGATCGCCACAAGGTCGTGTAATGTTATCGGGCAAGCAGCGGTCCATTAAACATCTCATAGGGCTTCTGAGCGGATCACCAGGCTAATGCCATTCGCACTGGCACAGCAGACCGTGTCCGCACCAATGTTCCTACTTTAACAAGCGTACGTCTAGCCCATCATTGGTCATTGGTGCGCTATCGCCACATGCTTCAGCTTTTAAGGGATTTTACTGGAAATGGTAATTACCCTTTCGAAATGGACAAATCATCGACGAGCATCGATAGCCAGTCGTTTGTTTATTTGTTACTTTGTTAACTAGCTCCATTTCCCATTCTAGCTCCTGCATGTTCGTGTATGTTTTCTAGTTAATATTTGATTTGAGCAAATGATAATTTTCAATCAGCTACTCTGAAAGAGGTTTAGTCGCCTCGCAAAAGGCATGTTAGATAACGGTTTATGATGCTCATCGTCACTTTATTTTGCAAACTTTATTCTCTGACGCCTTATGCGTGGTCTTACAAGAAATAAAAGATCTGACAACAATGATCGGATCTTGATTAGTCAGTGATACACTACTGTCTGCCAACTCCCTATTCTCAATACTAGCACCGTATAGGCCGCTTGCCGATTTATTGGCACTACAGTACATTCATAAAAAATGCTCGTACGGGGATCAAGTTGATGGAGTTCTTCTTTACCTCCGTGTGCGTGGCGCAATGGCCGTCAACACAAACAAACACATCGCAAGCTACACTCACGGGCAAACTGAAATTTTTAAGGATCGTCAAGAAAATTTTGAGACCTAATCACCACCAAAAATGACGAAGCCGTCCAATCACGTCTTTCGGAACGTTCCGTCTTTAGGTTTTGGCTACTTTTTTAATGTCTCGCTCTTTATGTCGGCGTCTCGAACAAGCTTCAAGCCCGGTGACAAAGCAAGTAAGCTGACAGTGTGATACTAATAAATTCCATCCTTCCGTAACATGAAGCGTGAGCGATCCCCGAGCTTTCCCTCCCTCCCGTGTCTAAACAGCGATCGCAGCATCGTTGCATGCAGGCCGCACCAGGACTACGCGATGGTGCACAAGCGCCTCTGCGGCCGCAACGCCTCATCATTCACTAAGCCCGTCGTGGTGCGCAATGCCAATGTTTCGACCAGCAGTAGCACCTACATCCAATCAACACTGATCACACCCACGTCTACAACCGCGCCGCCGCTCGCGACCCTAATGCAGTTTGTTGACTTTTTTGTCGAGCCGTCAGCTGTCTCGCCGCCCGAGGCCGTGAGTCTAGCTGAGGAAATGGCGTCGGACTTCTACAGTGAGGTGTCCATCATGTACGACATGCTATCGGACATCAAGACGCCCACCGCTGAGGGCCGAGCCGTAGACGAGCTCATGCGCCGCTTGCACACCTTGTTGAGCGCCAATGCCAACAGACATTCCACGGACGAAAACATTTCTACTCAGATCACAAACGTGCGTGGATTGTATAATGGACTCATTCGCGTGTTTATCTTCCTGTACCAGCGGTATTACCACTCCTTCGTGGTACTAGAAGTGAGCGAACTTTTGGCCGCGAGCTGGCAGCGGCTGCTTGCCTTTGTGGTTGAATATCGCATCCTAGACGAAATGTTCGTCCGCAAAGTGTACGACCATGTCATGCAGATCGTCAGCTCCTCTTAAAAACGAGACGATGCATCTTAAATTTTGGTGTAGTGCTCGTTTTGTACAGACTGCAGCTGTAGCAAGCAACCCACCCATTCGACATTAAGTATAAATAGAGCTTTGTTATCCGTACCTTTTCTGAATGAGGCAAGTAAGTACCGGTAGGCATCGGTGGCTACCAGTTTCATCGGCAATACGTGATGGCCGTTTTCTGCACCCATAATGGTGATACAAAAAAACGAGCGCTTGACAGAGTGATGGTCAAATTTCTTTTGTGTTGTTGCCATTGCCGCAGCGGGAAAAGTTCTAGTCTCATGGCGACGATCTGTGGCGCATTCCGGCAGCTTACAAGCGCCTGTGTGGCATCTGCAGAGTCTCCTTCGTCACTCAAGATCGGTCCAACGTCGTCGTCGTCGTCGCTTTCCCACGCGTCAAACGCGCCCAGGACGCTCTCGGGTCCCATCATACGTGTCCCACGCATTAGTCGCACGGGTTACACGTCATTGGATCAGTTTACACGCTCGGTAGAAAAAATTGCTACGCTTCGTGTGAATAGATTACGTACAGGTGAGTGTGTGGGTCACATGTTGAGCTCCATGGACGTCCTGCTGGGCATGCAGTTAGTAGCGTCGTCACGACGGGATTTTCGCGTCTGTGTGAACTTTGTGCTGCCTGGTAGTGACGCAGAGGCATTGGGCATTCATCCAGCGGCTCTCGTAGTGGCTATTAATGGCCGTTCGATGCGTGGAGTGAGTCTACAGCGGGTGCTAAGGGTGATTCAGCGTGCACTGAGTTGTACAGAAGACAAGAGTGATAGTCCATTGATTGAAGTGCCAGCAATTGGAGATTTTATTGAGATTGATTTGGCTCAGAGAGAGCACGAGATGAACGTGGATCGCAACTTGTTTGCACTCACGCAGTTTCCATCACCACAGGGTCAGCATTTGCCTGGCGTGAAGCAGTTTCAAGATGGCTATGAAGCAGATACGATTCAGGAGCCTATGCAGACTCAGGAACAGACTTCTCCAACGCTTCTCCTTCATGGACGGGAAAGGTCGAGGTCATTTAAACACTTTTGGATGTCGGACAGGTCCAGTAAAGCGTGTTACGAGTGTGAACGATTGTTTACGTTCTTTCGACGAAGACATCATTGCCGATCTTGTGGGCAAATATTCTGTGCAAACTGTTGTGCCAGGTTGCCACAGTCGTTTGGAGTAAACAAAGTAGACGAGTCAATTGAACGATTGAGGAAACAATTGGTCTGTCATAGTTGTCACCGACAGTTACGAGAAGGATTGCAAATGAAACTAACAGGTGCTAACTTCGAGGAAGATTCGCAGAAATCGGTGAATTCTCCACCTGTCCATACGCTGCTACTTATGCCGCAGCATCTTGCTGAAGCTATAAAACGCACGACGTCCGACGCGTCTAGCTTGAAGCAATTGGATAAATCGGAATTGTTTGGAAAAGATGAAATAAATGACGATATACGGGTCAGTGAACAGCCTGAAAAGTCGAGGCCACCATTGCTATTTAGTATGTTCCCCAAGGTTCAAATTGTTGCAAGCGCGCAACATCTGGCTCATCAGCCGCATCTGCATGAACTGACAAAAGAGGTGAAGCAAACTGGTCATGGAACTGCGCGCAGACTAAGGACATTCAGCGATCCGCAACTCTTGCTTGAACGAAAGGATGCACAGCACGCATCCCGGAAACTGAAGCGCTCAAATAGCCAGGCAGATCTAGTTAACCCGAGCAATCATCGCTGGAGTGACGCAGAGTTTAAGCGTCTCGTCTCAGAGTCAAATGCGCAAGCACGGCTTGCAGGAACGTTCCCTCCCACTTCGACTACTCTAACGACGCGGCCCAAGACCCTGTCAGTGTCATTCGATACTGCGCGCTTTGGAAACGCTGTTCAGTGGAACCCATTTGGCCCTGAAAAACGCGTCAAAACGAAAGATATCGGCATTCTAGCCATGGTTGGCTTGTCCAAGGATATTCGCAACGAATTAGACGATTCTGAGCACGTTATTAGAATAGAAACAGCTGTGGAACGAATGTCAAAAGATTCTCGTGACCGCATTGAAGAGCGCATTTTCCATTTGCTAGACAGCTCTCCGGCAGTATCGCATCTCTTAATGATCGAGCAGCATCGGTGGATGCAAATTATTAACTTGTTTGCCCATCGAGCTGCGCTCACTGTCTCGTGCGAGCCCGACGAAGGTGATTTGCTGGACATTATGCAGTATGTCCGTGTCCAATGTTTGGATGGTGGACGTGTGCAAGATAGTTTTTTCATTGATGGCGTCCTCGTTCACAAAAGTTTGGCTCGCAAAGGAATGAGAAGTGATATTCTAAACCCGCGCATTCTACTGATTGCTTCAGTGTTAGACTACCAGCGTAAGAAGGACGTAATTTCGTCGTTGGAGGGCGTCGCTGGCCAAGAAGTGGAATATATGCATATCGTTACGGAGAAGATTATGACTTTTAGCCCTGATATCGTCATGTTCGAAGGTCATGTGCACCGAGTTGCAGAGGAGCTGCTTTACAAAGGCAATGTAGCAGTCGTAAAAAACGTCCGCTTGATCGACTTGCAACGAATTGCTCGCTGCACCGGCGCGTCCGTACTGACGTCGTACGATCACATTGACAAAATGTCCGATGCTGGGGTAATTGGCACTTGCAAGCGATTTTACGTATTGCTGAGCGACCAAGAGCCGAAAAGTGCAAAAAAGATTGCGTTTAGATCGAATGCTGACGGGCTCTACGAAGCGGTAGAAGGATCTGGTATTTCTCGGCAGCGGCGAAAACGAACACAGCGCCAGAATATTGTTTTTGAAGGGGGTATCATGTCAAAGGGGTGCACTTTGTGCCTACGCGGAGGAACACCTGATGTTTTCACGGACATCACGAATGTGCTAACTGCAATCATCCGCTGCGCGTATAACATGCGGCTGCAGCGGTCTATGTTGGCATCTTACGGATACATTCCCCCTAGACGAAAGCAAGAGCGTTCTGTTGCAGAGGAATGGTTTGCCAAGTCGTCAACATCCCTGTACATCTCGCTCAAGTCTAATTCACTATCAATGCGTGCTGCCCTGAAGGAAACACAGGCTATGTGTAAATGGTGCAAGGCTCACACACGGTTTAACAATATTAGTTCTCTTCGGGTGGTTCATGGGGCGAAAGACGATGACAGTGCCTTGGCAACTGCAAGTGTTGTGCAGCCGGGCCATCTCAATTGGTGTACTTGCGGAGCGAAATCATCTAGCGCGCTGAGGGACCGTATTCTGTTCTCTACCTGTTGGAGTTCATTGGAGGGGAAAACGGCATCGAAAGCTGAAATGATGTGCATCGACTTTTACAGTTCAAACGATATGTCGGTTGGCCAATTCCTGGATAATTTCTGCTTTGCAAATAGCAAGGCTGAGTTCAAGCGCGCGTTTGCAACGTCAAAGCTGTCTTTTTCCCACGATACCGGCCGCGTTATCATACGGGTAAAAGATTTGAATGAGTTTAAGGACACCAGTGATCAGCAACCTCCAGCAGAGTTTCTTCGGGAATTCAGCTATCGTTCCATCCTGCAGCAGATTCGATCGGATGAAGTGCTGATGTGGTCACGCAATATAAGTGGTGGGAACGCTTCTGCCTTTTTGTCCTCAACGTATTCGGTAATACCGAGGGACGCGTGGAATTATTCGTTTGGTAAATTTTTGGAGGACATGTTCTATGGAAAGGCTATGGGCATTGACTGCGTCCGTTTTCCCCACTTAGGTGGTGTGAGCGGGTCGCGAGATGCGTCATTGGTGCACTATTTTTCGCGTCACGGACGAGTTGCAAGTGTACATGTCGAGCCTCTTGAGCCTGTTCTCCACGTCGCATTACAACCGGCGCTCTGGCAGGATCACATTGATCACCAAGTTCAACTTGAGGCTATTCATGACCTCTGCGATCTCGTTCGCGAAGTGTACGGGGTAACAACTTCGAAAGTCGCCGAGTCGATGGAAGATCTGGTTACGCCACTTCACGCGAAGCAGAACTTAAAGATCTTGCGGAATGAGGTTCAGCAATGGTATTCCTGCTTCGGTGCAAAAATTGGGTCAAACCCACCGCAAGATGTATTTGCATACAACGCTCACTTTCGGGAAATTTACGAGTACGCCGTTGGTTGGAGTTTGCGTATTACACGTACCGTTCAGGCTACGGTAAAACCAACAATGGTAAATCACATCGATAGTCCAAAGAGTGCCCTCCCTAAAGCTTGGTTTGATCAGCTCGCACAGCAGGCAGAATGCAGCGACCGGTACAGCGACATATCTGCTCCTAGTGCTCTGGGGACAACGCCAGTGAACATGAATTTTCAGGAGCCTGGTAACTTGGCACATCTCGCGAGCTTTGCGCGTAGTTTGGCTGCAGCAAACAATGCCTCGCCAGCAGGAGGAACGGCGCAGGTCGCCAACGAAGTTGCGAACACGTTGCGGCAGAATGGAACTACTGGCACGCATCAATCGGAGCCATGGGAGTCGGATGAAGGCTACGATCATTATGACGAATCTAGTCATTCGTTTCCGATCGATTTCATGGCAGAAACGGAGCCGTATACGTCAGTGACACCAGTATTTGGAAAAACACTGTCAATGTCTGGTGTTCCTGGTCACGCTTCCTCCTCCACCATGGGAGCTCTTACGTCCAGGAAAGCACTTGAGAATTTTCGTCTGACGCAGCAAGCGAAGAAGCCTGACGGCTTAGGATACTTAGCACTGCCTAAAAGATTGCTCGAGTGGCACCCTAGCTTGCCGATGGGGGCAAATAAGGCCCCAGTTTTGGTTAACGCAAAGCAGCCGACTTCGGTGGTGGCGTACTCTCTTTTTTCAAACGAATACAGCCGTTGCATCAACGATAACATGCGGAAAGAAGCTTTCCGATACACGGTTGAGGCAAAAGTTGCTGAGAATGGCGTTCCGTCAGTGGCCAATTGCGGCCAGTCCGAAGAGATCAGGAGTATGCTGTGCATTTTGCGCTCAGCCACGCGAAATAACGTCGGTCACAGTTTTGTTGATGAGAATCAGTTTCAATCGGCTGTGCGCTTTAGCTGCAAATCGTACTACGCCATGCAATTTCACGCGCTCCGAAAGCTGTATTATGGAGGTGACCGAAACTACGTAGAATCTCTTTGCAACTGTCAGCAGTGGAATGCTGCTGGCGGTAAGTCAGGTGCTGGTTTTCTGAAGACACGCGACGAACGCTTCATCGCAAAAGCCATTCCAGAAATTGAGCTGCAGATGTTTCTGAGCATGGCAAACGAGTACTTTTGCTACATGGCAAAGACCTTCGAAAACGACTTGTCATCAATGCTCTCTAAAGTGCTTGGTATTTACAAGGTATCTATCTCAAACACAATCCAAAGTGGTGACAGCGATCAAAACGTGCGCATGTGTGTAATCGTGATGGAGAATTTGATGTATGGGCGCGAAGTTGACTTTTCTTTCGATCTAAAAGGCAAGATGGAAGGACGTTACAAAGAGGGTCAGCTCGGAGATAGCCGCTCTGTTTTGTGGGATCGCAATTTCGTGGAGTTGGCCGGTGGTATTCCGTTACCTCTACAGGAATCTGCGTTATCATTACTTCTGTCCGCGATCATAAACGATACAACCTTCTTGGCATCTGTCCAAGCAACCGATTATTCAATGCTGGTGGGCTACGATGTAAAAAAACAGGAGCTGGTAGCGTGCATTATCGATTACATTCACAAGTACGACTTCATGAAGATGATGGAACATGCCGGTAAGCGGCTAATTCAAGAGGAAGGAGAAATTACCGTGCTGAATCCAAAGCACTACCGCAAACGTTTTTGCCTGGCCATGAACAAGTATTTCGTCACGATTCCGTCGCGGTACACAAAGGTGACCACAGTTGTCCGGAACACGACGTTCACTACAACAGTCGGCAGTTCCGGCACAACAACCCAAGAAGAAGAGAAAGACTACCAACAACCTCCCTACAGTACTAGCACGACTGCCAGCAGTGTGAGCACTCTGCGTCAACAGTACTAAAGAAGTCGGCGCCTGCCTTGTCTAGCGAACGTATGATTCGCCGCTTGCCAAGTCTGAAGAAACTGCCATATCACACGACTTGAGCTAGCGGATTTCGAAGCTGCATCCCCTTGGATGCCACGAGCTCCACAAGGACGTCATTTTTCAAGTTATGATTCAGCCATCGAAGCCGCCGTGCCAGCTAAAAGCGGCCATCTTTGCAGCGAATACGGTACCTGCAAGTTTACGAATTGTCGGATACAAAAAGTTATGCGTGTCAAGCCGTCGCAACCACGTTTGAATCGGCCTTCTTGAGTGTCATATCAGCCTGACCAGCAGCTTCGTCTTTCCTGACGATAGCTTGGTTTTCTCGCACTACAAATATCACGAATACTTCAAGCCAAGAGAGTCACGACTGCGGTTGCTTGGCCTAGTCAGAAATGTTACACTCGTGTCTTCGACGAACTGTTGACCGACTCGTCAAGAAGCACAGAGCGACCCTTATTAAATCGTGTAGCTTGTGGTGAGGTCATCGGTCTGCTCTATCTTCTGTATGCATGCATGCTCATCTACATGCAAAGCAAGCGTTACATACTTGTAAGTTGGTCCCAAAAGAAATGCAAATAGATGAATGGCAGTACCTTGGCGTGAACAGGCCGCAGTCGAAAGTTCTTCGTTCACGTGAAGTCCTTTCCGGGGACCACTCGACAGTGTACAATTGGATCGCAGTGCTTACGGCTCTATCTTTTGGACGAAATCTCGTATGACCTTGGCAATAAATTTGGTATCTACATGGTTCCTGCCAACCGGCGTTGAAGCCCAATTCAGCACGAGCGACTGCGTATTCCTCCATGCGTTTGCGGACAAACAACTCTGGACTTGAAGGCGTGTACTTTATGTAAAATACTTTTGCGTCGCGCCGGTTTCCGTATCATTTCGTCACTCACTCGTAGCAAATGCATTGGTGTAATCTCCGTTTTACGATAGTCGGTATCATGTAGACTGATTTGTCTTTTGGCCACCGAGGCGACTCGGTGAATCCACCCCAATTGTGGTCAAGGAACAACATGAGCATTTTAGGGCAAAGGTCAAAAAAATCTACTTAACGTCCGAGGTCAAGACTGAGCACTTCATCTCCAGAACCCAATCAGGAAGTAAACGAGACTCCAAGTCTGATGATAGCGAATGCAAAACGCACAACATGTCTTACGAAATCGATGAAAAAGTGGACAAACATTTTACATACACTACCGCATCTTTGCAGTGTCCGTAGTTACGTGTGTCATGTAATAAAAAGACATTAACGTCTGGACATTAGCGAAGTTTCTGCAGCAGGTTCTTGTCGCTTTTGTGCATCAATACGTAAGAATTAGTAGCGATTCCATTACCAAGTTGGGTTCCAAGGGCCACGGTATTGATGCATTCGTGTTTTCCGCGCAGACTTCAAACAGCAAGCTTTGGTGTAGTAAATCTTCATTCGAGACTGCTTCTGCAGCTGAAAGCTATTTGCTAAACCGATTGTGCCACGTCAACCCTATTGTCCCAGAAGGTCCGATAAGTGAGGTCATCTTCAGCATCCATCCGCAACGACATCGGCTCCAGTTCGAAGCAATTTCCGACAAGGACTATCGTCTCCATGAACGCAACCGATTACCATCAAGTCTCGATAATAGTCACCACAATTGTTATTATCTTTTCTCTTTTCTTCAAAACATCTCCTGCAGATGTTGCATCGCACCAGCAAAAAGAACTCGTGTCTTCATAGTATTGTCTTCGTCTACTTTACCGATAGCTGCACGCTGCTCACAGCTTTAGTACGTCACTTTGCTAGAACGGTTGGCAAAGTAAAACATGGCGACAAGACCGTTAACATAATAGAATCCGTGTTCCCTTGAGCTTGCCATCTTTTTCATCTTCTGACGCAAAGCTTGGACAAACACGCTCATCTTTCTCGATTCAATTTACTTATTTCCCAGGCTTGTATCTGCTATAACGGCAGCAGCCCCACAAGCCTGCGCCTGCTGGACATAGCTTTACTGTGACTGGGACAGCAGTTCCGCCTCTACTATTCAATCGGAGGTGGTTTTATGTTGTTGGACGCACACGTCATGTACACATTCAAGGTGGCAGACGGGTGCCATCGACGATCAACAACCAAATACAGTCCAAATACAGTCCTGGTTCCTTTCAACGTACTAGCATCAGGTGTGCGAAAAAATTTGACATATAAAAATGCCGTTGCATCGATGCGTCTTCATTTAAACGTTGCGAGTATTTTGTGCATGTGGTGTAAAAACCTTTGCGCTGTAAGGATTCCCTTTTGCTTATAACACTTAACCACTCGATCGATACCAATTTGTGCCTTGACGCAGTACATTTAGCGCGAATTCCAATCGAATTCCAGAGCCAACTCAACCATTTCGATGTTGAGCACCAGGCAGCATTGACTGATGATCGAAACTATATCGGGGGTAGTACGATCATTACACTTTGGAGTGCAAGAGATGACACTATGTCTTAAACAGCGGCTTTGACAGCTAATGCGGTTGACGTGGCGCCAAGGTGCGCTTGGCCATGGTCGACGCGCATGAATATATATGAAACTGCATGTGCAGCGCTCTAAGAAGTGGAAAGGACGCATTTGAATACAATACTCAACCTTGCATCTCTTCTTTTACTTCCCCACTAGATAATGTGTTCATATCATGGAGATTTCGTCAGCACGAGCACTCCCATTGCTATATTTTCGAAACGATTAAGTCGTTCATCGGGTGGGCGTCAATGGTGATAACGACTTCTTCGTATGTATGTAATCTTCTCTTCGACTCAGCCATATGAAGAAAATGCCGATTCAACTGCTAACCTGCCTGAAATCATGCTCAAAGTGAACAGCAATACGATAGCAATTCAGTTGCGCTGGTGTGACGGTAAGAATATAAGATTGTACAAGCTGTCGTAAGGCAACCAGGCATCATCTGTTGTCTTTCCACAAACTCGTTCCTGCGCGTGGATGATTATAGAGCTGAAAGGGTGTTAGCTCCAATATGTTCCTCCTTCAGACATTGTCGAGCGAACTCGACCGGATTTGAGGACGTATCCTTCGCGGAAACCCGAGAAAAATCTGGTGTTGTTCGTGATACCAAGAAAAGCAAATCTGGTATTGAATTTGTTGTCGCTCTCGGCATTCAGCGAGACTTTGTCGTAGTAAAGTGGGTCTTACATCAATGATGCGCCAGCGATAGGTTGACCATCAAATTAGTATTGACATCAAGTTAAGCGGTTTGTCTTTAGCCACTTCGCTGTCCGAGTAATGGTCGAAGAGACTTCACGCTCAATAAAGACTTGATTTCTAGAGCATGTTCGCTTAGCGTGATGATGTGGAGCTTTGAGATGCTGAAAGTAGCGCATGAACGAAAATCAATTCTTTTTGAAACGAAATACGAAAATATGATGCAATAGCTTGCATATCTACGTTGTACAAAGCCAGCATCAGTACAGGCATCAGCGGCGAAATGTAGCAGGATCTACTTTATTATTTCAAAACTCAGCGTAACGTCTTAGCCGTTCCGCTTCATGACTCAGCATTCCATCTTAATTACTTCGCTAACATGTCGACAAAATATTCGACTCCGTCATCGTGCCACCTCGGTGCACGAAACCAACCCGTATGGCTCTGTGCACGAGCAAACTTGCGCAGCTCCTGCATTTTCTGCACGAAGAAGACCACGTCAAAATAGTACTGCTGCAAAGCCTTATCAGCTCGCATTTCACGCTCTTCAATGGTGGTGTTGTTCAACATGTCCGTCACTGCATCGCAGACTGCGGTATCGTTAAAGTCAGCAACAAAACCAGGGACATCGTGCAGTGCGTGGGCCGCCGAAGAGTCGCCACCTAAAAATTGCCGTTTATATGATTTTTCTTTAGCCTTGATCAGTACACCAGACTGTGAAGTGATCAACTCATTCATAGGCGCAACATCAGTCGTGAAGATTAACGCGCGAGAAGCTCGCGCCTGGTTAATGTAGTGACCATAGCCCTCCATGACACTCGAACACATAACGTACGTCGCATCAGTAATGAGACGCCCAAAGACTGCAGGATCCAGCCGTTCGTTGTGCAGTATGACGTTCTTGCTCGTAGCGATCCTTTTCGCATACTTCCCAGGGAACGACTTATGGGTTGTGTACAGCTCGAGTAGCGGCAGATCTGGTCTCGACAACCAGCATTCCAGCACTTGCCGTGTTCCTTTCCAGCCACTATTGCCTGGTGTATGCAAGATCGACACATGCGAAAAATTCTTCTCAGATCTCACTTGTGATTCACTCTCAGTGAATTGGTTCTTGACCGTCAGCGGCAAGTTCGACGTAATGTGGCGTGTGTACAGCACCCGCGTTCCTTTTGGATTGCCCTCCTGTTTAAACCACAGCCTTACATACCTTGCACATAGCGCCGTCTTGCACAAAACCACATCCGCTCGCCAAAAGTGCTCGCTACTGATCTCGAACATTTCCATATTAGGCATCAAGTACAAAGGTTTATCTGTTGGCCAATCCAGAGCGTCCGGTACTCCATCCCAATAGTGATTGAAAAAGATCATAGGCGTATTTGGGCACAATTCATGATACGTGACAGTTCGTTTCCTTGAGTTGTCTTGAAATTTGGAATTCAAAACCCATCGTGGCAACATCCGTGCCTTCAAAACTACATTGTCACTCAAAAAAGGATCAATGTCGTTATCTTAGAGAAAAAAGTACAAGTTCCAGTGTTAGAGTGACGTACACTTGGTATACGCCGCTGCGTCTTCACAGTATCCAAAGTCTCGTAAACCACTAGGTATAAACACGTCAACATCAGGACATTGCTTGAGTTTTTCGAGCAATTGCGGATCAGTCTCATTTACTATATATTGTGCTTCATCCTGCTCTGCCCTCCCAACCTCATACGAAATGATACTTTCTTGGTACTTGACACAAGCGCGATGGAGCGCCGCTTCATGCAAGAGGTCACTCTCATGGATCTTTTGACTCCAGTCAATGTCATATACTTCATCGGGATAAAAAGTAAGCATGTCGGCGACTGAGGCCGTGTCTCCGGCTCCAGGAGCAGCTGCCGCGTTCAGTAAGCGCTGGAAGTTTGGAATCCCATCTACTGACGTGTCCGACGTAAGTAGTGAGAGCTCAAAGACCAGCGTGCAAAATATGAAAGCCACTAGGATGCCGAATAGCAGAGAGAGGAAGGGAATAGGCTTCATTCGACTAACACGAGATCCGTGGAAAAATATTTTAAATATATATATATATAGTGTCTCTATATATATATACTACATAGATCTCCCTCCGATAAGTTATGGGTACGGTGAGCGACTATTTTCAGAACTTTTCAGAGGTTTAACTTAACAGTTTTTGTGGATCGTACATAAGAGAATCTGAACAATTGGATAGTAAAAAGTGTAACGGGGTAAGCCCGTTACATAATATTGTCGCTTACAATAAGTGTCATTTAGAATACTATTATAGCTACTAATATTTGACAATATTATCGTTTTTTATAATTTTGCCCTCGCATCTCCTTATGCCCTCTAATTGGTTAATGTAGGCCATTATAGCAACCAAGGCGCTGACCAATGACCGCGCAATGGAGGGCACGAAGGTAGCATACATATTTGCACTTTAATATAGTTGAGGCAAGGCTATTAATAATTTAGTTTTATTAGATAGTTTAACTATACAGAATACAGCTCTCATTTTCTCTACTTCTAAGCGTGATGTCTAGAAGTAAAGCTTCCTCTGTCTTTTTAATAAGAGACGTTCTAAGACATTTGCTTCACTCTTATCAGCAAAATTTATTATACGAAAGTATAATCAAGAGGGACCTAAGCAACCGACCATCCCCACTTTACCATCGAACAAGAAAGACTCCAGCTCCAAAATTCAGACTGTCATAGGTTGATAATTTTGCCGAGTCCCCGGGACTCGGTGAAATTTGCTGAGAACATTCTCGCTGAGTTCACCTGTATGTCTCTGACATCTCAGGGGTTTTGTAACGCTTTCCGCTGTGAAGATCACGGCGCGATGGTTACGCCAGAAGGAGGAACTGCTCAAGGTCGAGGGTTTCAAAGGTTGCAAGGCGCAAGAGTCGCGCAAAGGACAGGTAGACTGCAGGAAAGAGAGGCAAGCGCTTACATGCATAATATATATCCACTTCGGCTTCTGCCACCATCTAATCAATCAACTCTGTACCACGTGCAAATATTAAACAGATTATGATCCCAACGCCCATGGAACAAGCTGCTCATAGCCAAGATCGTTGCGCCAACCACGACCCAAGTCGAAGACGACGGAGCCAGTTTGGCTCCGGCGCGTGCGACCGTATGGCCAGGCTGCTGGGCTTGATTACAGATTTGAAGGGTGACATAATAGCTTGGCTTGATAGGCTTGAAGCTCACCGAGTCGAGGACGATCAAACGTCGGACATGTCCGCCGGTAGCAGCACCTTTTGCACGTATGCGGAAGCGCGCACGGGACTCAGTCGAAACATGACTCTGGCCTCGCTCGAAGACAAAGTAGTGCCCGGCCCAGCGCGACAACATGCAGCAGGATTAAGGCAGAAAATACAGGGGGTAGGAAGAGGCGGAATCGACTCACCCCCTCAGGTACCATGAGGATCGGATTCGGCCCATTCCAGCGCCGTCGTATATGACGTCACAGAGTCTTCTGCAGCTGAGGGACCTAAAGCTCGCGATAGAAAATTGTGAGAGCAAGGAGGTCTGCCCGGGACTAGGATCAGGCTTCGCTCCCTGGGGGAAGCAATTTCTTCGCCAAATCCGGATCGCCGAGGAGCTTAGCGAGTGCAACAGGTCGGAGGCTTTTAAGTTAAATGTACTTGGCCGATACTTAACTGGCAAGGCTGGTCAGCATTTAAACAGCCAAGTGAGCACATGGTAATCCGAGAATCCACAAGTATGGTACCACCGGACCGGATGAACGTAAAACTTGGACCCAGGATATCGTAGTCTCAAGCTTTTATGCTTTTTACTTCCAAAAAAAGGAATCGGTATCATGGAGTGACCAAATGTTATTTAAAATGGCGGTCAGCGACGCAGTCGGCGGTGCACAAGACCAGGTTCTTGAGAACACATCCAAGTACGCGATCTCAAATACCGAGATTTAAGGTGTTCAACTCGCGCGATACAATCCTCTACGAGAAAAATATCTGAGGTATGATAAAGAGCTGGTGCATTTCGCCCAGTTAAACGACCCAGCAATCCGAGGAGGTCTAAGCCAATAGTCGTTGTCGTTAAGCCCCAAGAATCCGGGCGGCGTAAGAACGAGATAGAACGCAAGAGTAAGAAATCTGGCGCTTGCTTTAAGTCTGTCAAGGAAGACCATTACAAGCGCGACTGTTCCAGTCAGGAGAAAAATAAATTTACGCTGGCTGTCGCGGACGGACTCTACGACACCAGCCAATGGATATTGAGCTGTGGGTCGAGTCGTCACTTGATGACGACGGCGTCGCAGCCAAGCAACGCAGCTATTTGCGACGAGGAGTGTTTACTTCCGAATGGAGAGAGCCTGCGTATGCAATTAAAGGGTAATGCTGATTGCGTTGTCAACGTTGATGGCGAAATTCGCCGAATTCAACTACTCGGTGCGTATTATGCCAAGAATCTTCCTTTTAGAATTATATTTTTATCTAAAATCGAGGAACAAGGATACGATCTTCGCTACGATGTACACCAGCGATCTGTAATCCGCCGAAGCGATGGATGTTAGATTTTTGATGTTCACAAGGACACCAACAATGTGCTTGTGGTGCGAGTTGCCGACGGCAGCGTCGAGCAAGCCGACTCGTGTGTGGTAGCGGCGGTAGCTGAGGCTATCAGTGTCCCAACCTCGGACGCTCATCTCGGCAATCTTCTCGACTTTCACTTGCGATTCGGTCACCTCACCTACGACACAGTTGAGTTAATAGCACGCGACCTAGCTGGTGGAATACGGCTTGCGGACAGAGATACATCGACCTGCTTCAAGTGTGCGATAGTTAAATAGCAACGTAACAGGCAGTCGAAGAAGGACACGGGAAAAAATGCACCCATCGATCGAGTCGGCGCGGTCATATGCAGCGATATTAAGGGACCGATTACGCCGGTTGAACGGCTTGGAAACAGATACTTGATCAGCTTTATTGATCACAAACGTAACTACTACCGCATTTTTCTTGCCAAGACGAAGGACAAGGCGACCAAGCAGTTCGAGCAATTTCTAGTCTACTTTGAGAAGCGTTTCAATTGCAAGGTTCACTGCTTTCGCACAGATGAAGGCGCCGAGAAGAAAGTGGTCGACCCGTTATGTAAGAACGCGGATGTGCGTCGCCAATTGTCAGAAGCGGACAACCAAGCATCCAATGGTCGATCTTAACGGATGCATCAAACCGTGATGAACATGGTGCACTCAATGATGTTTGGTTATGGGCTTCCGCTGAGCGTTTGAGGTGATGTAGCCAAATACGCGGCATATATTCTTGTGGTGGAGTGGATTCTCAAACGACGTAAGAGAACCACAAACACACACAGCGCCGAAATTCCGACTTACGGAGGGGATACCTCGATACCGTGTCGCGTCAACCTTGGGTCTAACCTTGTGTAGCCGTCGATTGGCTGGTCTTGCTCCCCGGTAGATGCAGAAGACTAATAGACTTGGTCCTTGTATGGAGGGACTTCTCCACATTCTCAACCGAAGCCCGAATTGCAGTAATGAGGGGCGAGTGTCACCAATCAAGGTGCTAACGGGTGTCAAGCCAAACGGGTACCAAGCCTAAATTGACTGATATAGTTACTTTTGGCTTGCTTTGTACCGCTGTTTGGAAGCCGAAACACAAGACACTTTAGAGACGCGGAATGGATGGCTTAGTTATCGGCAAGAGCGACGAAGTCAAGGGATACCGTATTTTGTTCACGAAGGACCGCGTGGTACGTACCTCTCAGCACGTCCAAAACATACAGATACTGAGCAAGAAAGCTAACTCGCGGCTCATTCGCCATGCAAGCGAGAAAGATGAACTAATTGAGAAGTCAGCTGGGCCAAATAACAGAATTGCTGAGTCGGGTAACAAGTCATCACATATACAATACAACCCGATTAAGACCGGTAATTTTCTAGCTGAGTCAATGCACGATGTCGACATCGGGGAGGAGCCGGGAATCGACTCCAGAAAGCCCAAGTCGCGTGGTAAGCGCGGTGTACAAGGGAAGCGGACGAATGACAAGGCAACCGCTGAGACACCGCGCATGACAACGCGTTACGGTGGGAAAAAGACTTCACCGATCGGTGAATTTTACCGCGTGGACCCAGCGAACTGGAATTCGCTTATGAGAAGTGACAGGCGCGTGGAATGGGAGTGCGCTGCGCACGCTGAGAGTGACTCGCTGGAGGCAAACGATACGTGGGAATTGGTGTCGTGTACCAAGGAGATGCACCAACTCCACACGAAGTGGGCCTTCAAGACGAAGACGGACGTGAATAGGATTATCAAGCGCTTCAAGGCACGCATGGTAGCGTGTGGTAACGAGCAATTATTCGGCAAAGATCACACGCTGACATTTGACGCTGTCACGGATATGACGACGGGCAAAATCATTCTGGCGCTGTCGCAGGTATGTGGGGTATTAGCGCGACACGGCGACGTGCCTAATGCGTACTACAAAGCCTCGACTGAGCCTGGTCTCCATATCTACCAATATGTACCTTAGGGAATGAAGGTCAGGGAAAAGGAAGTTCATTAACTTGAAGTTGAGCACGCTGGACAAGTCATAATCCAGCCAAAGCGAAGTCTTCATAGCCTAAAGCAATCTGGGCGATTATGGTCTCACTTACTGCACTCGAAGTTACTACGAGTAGGCTAAATAGATTGTGTCGCTGACTAGTGCCTCTACTATAAGTGTGGTGAAGTGCTTTTCTAAATTGTGAAGAACCCAAGGGCCAGTTGGATTGAAGGGAAAAGGGGCTGTGGACCAGGGAGAAGGGACCACGCACCAGAGAGAAGGGATCGGAGAGAAAGGGAACCTCTGAGTGAAGCGACCGTTGGCTGAGAATGTGAAAGAAAAACAAAGGAGAGGTCATTACCAGGGTAAGGTTTAATCGGTACCGAAGGGAGTCGACCATGGCCTTTTTGGAAGGCTCGGTCCCTCACCGGTAGTTCGGTCCTTCATTGGTCGACCCGGTCCCTCATTGGTCAAATTCGATCACTCATCGGTAGCCCGGTCCCCCATTGGTCGAACCGGTCCCTCATCAGTAGACCTGGATCCCTCGTTGGTAGATCATGGTCCCCATTGGTCGACCTCGTCCCCTCGGGGTTCATCCACTCCGGACCAGTTAATACAAGGATCAGACTAGTCGACGCAAGGAATCAGAGCTTCAGGAAAGGATAAGAGCTCCATTTTTTGTCCATGGATCTGATAAATAGGTTCCATCAGCTCCTAATAAGTAAAGGACATTCCGTACACGGCAGTAAGCATCCCTAGTGGTATGCTATGGGATTGCTTGCGTGGGCTTCTTAATGCGCCAGCCGCATTTAAAAAATGTGTTTTACATCTATTGAAACCGGTGCGAATTTTTTTCCGAGTTACTATAACAATGTAGCAGGGCTATGGATAGGACAAAAACGTGGTAGTCTACTGACTTCACGTTCGCAAGATTTTTGAACTCATGCGCGAGAAGTTGTACGTCAACCTCAAGAAGTGTATAATTGCAGCTAGAAAACTACCATTTTTGGATGCATCGTCGAAAAAAACAGCGTACGCCCTGATCCGGAAAAGATCATTGCGATCACCTACTTTCCAGTACAAGTAAATGTCAAAGGTCTAAGGAAATTCGTTAAACTAGCGGCGTACTTGCACAACTACTCGCGCAACTACGCCAGGATGAAAGTACATCTTTATTGTTTACTTAAAAAATGTAATGTGGAATGGGAACGCTGACTGTCAGCGTTCGTTTGAACGTATCAAGCAAAGTTTAACGCAATCGACGGTGTGTCAATTGCAATCAGGACATAACATTTAATGTGATCTTCGATGCAAGATATTTGCAAATGTCTGTGCAATACGATGCAGACGACACAGAGTAGAGCCTGTCGTTTACTATTAAAATCGTCAGCTGCGACTAGCTGAGCGCAACTACCCGGTGCATGACAAGGAACTCCTTGCCATAAAAATATGCACTGGATAAGTTTTGCATCTATCTCTTGGGAGATAGACCGTACATTGTGTATACAAATCATGCTCATTACGCACGGCTGTATACAGTCCACACCTCTTGCAACGAACGGAGAGATGATTGTCGTTCTTCGCAAAGTACAACTTTTGTGGCAAAGTCGATTAAAAAATTTGGTTAAGCCCATAGAATGATCCGATCGACATATACGGAGCCGACTTTTCGAGACTTTCCCATAACTGTCAAGACAAGTTGTGGTGGAGTGGATTTCCAAACGACGTAAGAGAGCCACAAACACACACAGCGCCGAAATTCCGACTTACGGAGGGGATACCCCGATACCGTGTCGCGTCAACCTTGGGTCTAACCTTGTGTAGCCGTCGGCTTGGCTGGTCTTGCTCCCCGGTAGACGCAGAAGACTAATAGACTTGGTCCTTGTTTGGAGGGACTAGGGGGCCCACGAGTGGATATGCTTCACTCGGGACCGGGGTTTCATGGGCTCAGTCGACTGGGTCGAGAGTAGTGCACCTGGTACTATATAATCCTTCGGTGGCTAACGGCTTCTTGGTCTTTCGACCCCTTTTCTTGTTCCCCGTAGGGAAACCGCTTCCTATAGCGGATCTTGAGTGGGTACGAACCCACAGGCCAAAAAACTTCCTGGGGTTCGTTCGAGCTTGTATCTTACCACACGTCTGTCTTCAACGGGGGGTCAAAATAAATCCCTTCCCCGGAACAGGTGGGTAGATCGAAACAAGCTCGCACTTGAGTCTTGACACTTACTTGACACCTCAGGCCAACTATCCTGAGGTTTAACTTGCGTAGCTTGAGCCGTTTAACACCTGACGTCGGTGGGCCAAAGGGTATCCCGCCCTGAATAGGTGAGGTGACGGAGAAGAGCTTGGGGAAGAGCGCTTAGAGCTGCCACGTGTAATGCAATTCGAGTGTGTTTATATATCTTATACTTAGTATGCTTTTTCTTGCCTAACCCTAAACCTTTGCTCTGGATAGTGCCACGTATCGACTCTTGGAGGAAGAACTGGCTCCTTGGTACCTGTACTTTCTGTAATCTTCGAGGTTCCGTGTACCGTTTCTGCACCCTAGGCCATGGGCCCTGGTACTCTGGTACCCTGTACCCTGGGCCCTGGACCCTGGTCCCTGGACTCTATATTCTGGGCCCTGGACTCTATATTCTAAGCCCTGGTACCCTACCCTGGGCCCTGGACCCTGTACCTTGTACCCTGTGCCAATAGACCTTGGAGCCTGTACTGTCTCTGCACGTAGGAATACCTTGTACCTTCTTTGACCTTAGAACCCTGGACCCCCTCGGGGCACTGGACCTTTCGGGTCCTAGTGTGCGCACGGTAGGGTAACCTTGTACCTTTGATGACTCCAGGACCCTGGACATTCAATACCCCTGTCCCCGGTTACTGGAAACCCTGTCCCTGCTAACTGGTTCCCCTGTCTTCAGTAACTGGAAACCCTGTCTTCGGTTACTGGAAACCCTGTCCTCGGTAACTGGTACCCCTGTTCCTGGTGACTGGTACCCTTGTCCCTGGTGACCCTCGGTCGAATCTTGAGACCTTCCGAGGCCTGGGTTCTTGTACCCTGGTACCCTGAACCCTAGGGCCCTGGACCCTGTACCTTGTACCCTGTGCCAATAGCTGTTGGGGCCTGTACCTGCTCTGCACGTAGGAATACCTTGTATCTTCTTTGACCTTAGAACCCTGTACCCCCTTGGGGCACTGGACCTTTCGGGTCCTGGTGTGCGCACGGTAGGGGAACCTTGTACTGTGGTGAAGTGCCAGGAGAATCGGAGCCCAGGGTACCAAGGCCCCAGGGTACCAGGGTACAGGGGCCCCAGGGTACAAGTGCCCAGGCCTCGCAAGGTCCCAAGGTTCAATCGAGGGTCACCAGGGACAGGGTTTCCAGTCACCAGGGACCGGAGTACTAGTCACTAGGGACAGGGTTTTCAGTTACCGGGGACAGGGATACCAGTGACCGGGGACAGGGTTTCTAGCAGCCGGGGACAAGGGTATCAGTCACCAGGGACAGGGCACCAGGGACAGAGTACCAGATACCGGGGACAGGGGTACCAGTCACCGGGGACAGGGATACCAGTTACCGGGGACATGGTTTCTAGTAACCAGGGACAAGGTTTCCAATTACCAGGGACAGGGCACCAGGGACAGGGGTACCAGCTATCGGAGACAGGGGTATCGAACGTCCAGGGTCAAAGGTACAAGGTTACCCTACCGGGAGCACACCAGGATTCGAAGGGTCCAGTGCCCCGAGGTGGTCCAAGGTCCTAAGTTCAAAGAAGGTACAAGGTATTTCTACGTGCAGAGACAGTACAGGCTCCAAGGTCCAAGGGCCCATGGGTACCGGGGTACCGGGGCCCAGCTGTGGAGAAGTGCCAGAGAAATGGGGGGGCCTTCGAAGTTATTATAATAACTGGCGTGAAAGATCTCGGTCACTCTCTTGAATGAGTGACAGGGAGTGACCAGGGCCCCGAACTGGTTCAAGGTCCCGAGTTCGGAGAAGGTACTAGGATGTCCTACACTACAGACCAAAGGACTAGTGCTGCTAGGGCAGCTTAGGTGGACCCCAGGTTACAGGTGGGTACCAGACAACAGGCGGACCCAGGTGACCGGTGGACCCCAGGTGACAGGATGACCCAGGTGACCGGTGGACCCAGGTGACCAGTGGACCCCAGGCGACTGGTGGGTCCCATGTGACAGGTGGACCCCAGGCGATAGGTGGACCCAGGTGACTGTTGGACCCAGGTGACCGGTGGACCCCAGGTAACAGATTGACCCCCCAGTGACAGGTTGACCCAGGTGACAGATTGACCCAGGTGGCCAGTGGACCCCAGGTGACAGGTGGACCCCAGGTGACAGGTGGACCCCAGGTCAGGTGACAGGTGGACCCCCCGTGACAGGTGGACCCCCGGTAACAGGTGGACCCCCGGCGACAGGTTGACCCAGGTGACCGGTGGACCCCAGGTCCAGTGGACCCCAGGTGACAGGTGGACCCCCCGTGACAGGTGGACCCCAGACAACAGGTGTACCCCAGACAACAGGTGTACCCAGGTGACCGGTGGACCTAGGTGACCGGTGGACCCAGGTAACCGGTGGATCCAGGTGACCGGTGGACCCCAGGGAATAGAAGGCACAAGGCTTCCTTAAAAGTGCAGAGCCGGTACAAGTCCCATGTCCTAAAAGAGCCAGTTGTTCTTCCACAAGTATACACGTGGTACCATCCAGAGCGAAGGGTTAGGGTTTGGCAAGAAAAGCATACAGAGAATAAGATAAATAAACACACTCGAATTTGCATTACACGTGGCAGCTCCAAGCGCTTCCTTCAAGCTTCTCCGTCACCTCACCTATTCCGGGCGGGATACCCTTTGGCCCACCGACGTCAGGTGAGGTGACGGCTCACGCAAGTTGAACCTCAGGATAGTTGGCCTGAGGTGTCAAGTTAGTGTCAAGACTCAAGTGCGAGCTTGTTTCGATCTACCCACCTGTTCCGGGGAAGGGATTTA